AATTTTTCTAAGTATGTCTAGACGAGTTACAAGTCCATTTCTAGCTTTTTTTGGGAAAAGGTTAAGTCTCTGGTAGCCTCACTTCCACACCGAATGTTACACAGGTATTATTGAACATGGTTTTCTGTGTTTGCTTCCATTACATTTAATGAAAATTAAGCACTCGTGTAAGATCGTGTTCTCAAAGATCGTCTATAATACTGTCCAATAAAACTGTACGCGTAGCTATTTACGTTGTCACGAACATAAACTCTGCTATTTATTTATCTACTACTTTACTACTACTATGTGCATGATAAAAAATGGCGGCGTTTACAGGCGTCAAATGAAGATGATTTGTAGGGTGTTACTTTTATTTAGAGGTCAACAGCCCTTGACGATCTGCTTCTGCACTAGAAGCTTCCGCTACATAAGATGCTCTGCCATATTTTCCACACTTCGTATGCTTAATAGGTTTTGGTTTATCAAAGAATATAGAAATGCTTAACGCGTACCTACTGTTCATTGTTAAATGGTTACTTGCTTTAGTGACTTTTATAATTGTGGTATAAAGCCTAAACTAGGTTAATATTTATCACAACAGTATTGTAAAGAGAGGTTGGCTCATACGTATGTAAGCAATGATTACTACTAAAATCAAGTAAGTATTAGGTACCAGGTATAAATAACAAAATATTATAAACAAAATGTGACTTAATAGCCATTTCTTCTTAGCAATTCACGATTAGGAAACAATTTAATGCAACTACTTATAGAGAAAAGCCTTTGATAATTCCTACAACCAGGACATAAAGTATCAACCGGATACTTTCTTGTTCTCAAACTAGCATTCTATAATTGGATAAAGAAGCTTGATCAGGAAATATTACTAATTGCCAGTTGCTACAAGCAGGTACATAGAAAAACTGGTCAATCTTGTAATATTCTTATCTGCTGGGGTTGGGTGACTGGGTGTGCGAATTTCACTCTCGGTTTCCTTTCCCATTTCCGCGTTTTCCGGTGTCAAGTACCTGTTATGAGCAATCAGGAAAATGCTAGGACAGCGAACTATCATTACATTGAGCACGCCCGTTGTAAAAGCGAGCGGACGGAACCTTTACGGTGTGCCTTTTATTAAATGTGTTTATTTCTTCCTTTATGCTAATCAAATTTCATTTTGGCCACAAATTCCTGTGTAATCACTAAAAAGCTAAACTTTATAGTATGTATTATCAACAATATATCCTACGAATTAAATATGAAGTTCAACTATTGGTGATTTTATTTGCTACGTTACGTGTTCGAGGCTATCAGAACACTTGTCAATATTTTACTGAAAAGACTTTTTTTTTCTAAAATATACTGCATTACATTAAAATCAACATGGTTAATAACGATAGGACAATAAAACAATAAAATAGCAGTAGCACATAGCAGAGAAACACAAAACGTCGGAACTATCTACGCAATACAAGTTCGAGTAGGCGCTTACACATAAAACATTTGCATCACCTATTTTCTCTAGTCAGGGAAATGCAATTGAAATGATCGAGTTTCAATCATTTATCTCCTGTTGTAAAATAGATTGATAGTTAGGCCTACTATCCACGATGCATCTGACGAATGCATGCAAACCAACAAATGGCTATAGGTGGTGTATCATTGTGTGTTTATAAATGCTCCCACGACACAGGAGAAAATCCTAGTGTGAGGCAACGTTATATAAAAAATGCCTTTCCTGGAAATGCTTGTTTCTAAGTAAGATTTTTTTATGGCATAAGTCGGTAAACGAGCTGACGTATCACCTGATTGTAAGCAATCGGCGTCGCCCATGGACACCTGGAACACCAGAGGCGTTACAAGTGCGTTACCGGCCTTTTAGGGACTAGAAGATTGAGGATCGTTGGGGATTCAGGGATTGGGGAGATTGGGGAAGGGAAGGATAATTGGGCCTCTGGTAACCTCACTCACACGATGAAACACAACGCAAGCGTTACTTCACGTCGGTCCGTGGTATCACTCCGGTCGAGCCGGCCCATTCGTGCCGAAGCATGGCTCTCCCACACTTAGATGCAGATCAAGATCAAGATGCAGAACAATTGTCATTTGAGACTGCTTATTAACGTTAGTAGGTTGCATGCATTCGTCAAATGTCACAACCTTGACAGTAAGCTTTATTCAGCTATTGGTAGAATAAATTGTTAATTGAAGCGCTGTGTAATTTGCACTTGAGCTGTATCCAACGACCCGTAATAAGCAGGTTCGTTTGTAAAGATTGCAAGTGCATTCTATGTTCTTACGGGTGGGAGTAGAAAAGCAAGAGTTTGTGCTTAAGAATCATTTTCAAATGTTTTGTGTAGGCGCTTTGTGCAAAATAGGCATAATTTTATTTGTTAGATGTGTTTCACGCATAAATTATTATTAGCATATGGATTTAGTTGAATCGTGATAGCGTTGTATTGTAAATATACACTAGTAAATAAAGGATTACTTCATTTTCTGGTGAGGCAAATAAAGGTCTGTTAGCACAGCTTTAGACCCAATCAAAAGAAGGTTATTGCATCTCTGAAAAATCGTTTACCAAATAATGCAAATCAACCAAAGGATTTTATAGCACGCTTGATATTATCCCATATATAGGCCAGCTTACCCCACAATCTCCCCAATCCCCGAGTCCCCAACAATCCTAATCCCCAAAAGGTTAGCAACGCATTTGTAATACCTGTATTTGTGTGTCCATTGGCGGCGATAATAGTTTATCTGATGGTAAACAATCGGCACATGATGGTGATCCGTTTGCTCGTTTACTAGCTTATCCCATATAAAAAAATAGAACAGTAGATCAAACATTACTTTATTTAATTAATAATGCTATATTTATTATACGACAAGTTATTTAATGTCTTAATGTTAACGTGAATAAAAAGTAATGAACGTTATTAAACAATTAACACATTAAACATGACAATAATAGAGTAGAACATGTGAATTATATCGGCGAATCGGACTAATAAACAATGGTTTCCCTTTCTAGATTATGGCGCCCGATAGTAAATGTGACGTGTGTCTTTTAAATTGCACGACTTTTAAGGAAGTCTGGTTGCTTTTAGGAAACTTGCGTCTATTGAAGAATGGTTCTACTTATAATTGGTTATTTTGGAAACTTTGTTTGTCAGTTCTACCTAGTTGGTCGAGTGGCCGAAGGGTGACTGTCGAGGCCTCGGGTTTTTAGTAATAGCACGAAGTCTGGAAATAAGCTCAATGTATGGCAACCTTCTATTACTCGGGACACATTATACCAATTGAGAAAATTCTTTATTAGGTACATTGTATACCATGCACCCCTGCATACCCCTTCTGAAACGACAAAGCACGGCACAATGTTATTAATAAACCTCGGGTGCTGTAAAAGTCTTTATTACATAATGAATAAGTAAATGCTAAAGGTATCCTTAAGATGATTAGCTTCGCCCTAGGCGTGGAAATGTTGACGCTCTGCTCACAGCGCAGCAGTACTCAAACTGTAGAATTAACATAATTAATTAATGAGCACATTTATTTTTGTGACATATTATTAATTGTACTAAGCGAAAAAGGCTTTTACAACACAGGAAATCCTAGTAAGTATGTGTTTTTCTTAACAGTAAAGGTTATTATTTTCTGCTAGTGGCTTCGCCAGCGTTACCGCGGAATAAAAAGTAGCCTAAGTGTTATTACACACCATAATACTATTTATTTATCTATCTATCTCTTGAACTTCAATGAACCAACCAATCAGAGCGCCAAATGCAGTCTCGTTTCGATTACTTTTAACGTAAAAAAAACTGGTACTAAGGCCTCTGGTGATTGTCCTGTCGCCGTTTTTTGGAAGCGTTCCGTTTAGACTGTTTATAGGTATTGTAATTAAGAGCTGATACTAATAGTTTTAAAATGAAACAACCAAAGGTAACACGCGCTCTGCAATTGAAATTGCAGTCTTATGTATATTAAAGTAGAGATTGTTATTGATCAACTCATTTTATAACTTTACTATTAACATAATCGACTTTTCTATAAAACTGGGTTAACTTAATATGTTGATTAGTTTACACTACAGAGATTAGTCAACTAATTCTATCGTAAGCCATTGATTGACCCTTCACACGAGATTTTGTGGTTATTAATAACAATATTTCACCATAAACTCATTAATAAATTATGATGATATCACAATTTATTTATTGAAAATAGGCTGACAGTTACATCTTTAATGTTTGGTAATAGGGTTTGTTTTCGTTTGGTATTTCGTCATGGTGTGAATTTAAGATTAATGTGATGTTTATCTTAATTCTTCGAGATTTTGGTCATTGATTAATCTTTTATTTATTTGTGATTTGGATTCGACAGAGTTTATTAGGATGTTCTAAACGAATGTTTAGTGATGATAATGGCTAGTGGTCTAATTGAACTCATAACACAGAAACTCTACTGCGAATGAGCTCCCGAGTAATAACAATAATCAGCAACAACAAGGAATAATAAACTATATTATTTAGGAACAAATAAAAAAACTGGGAAGGAAGACAAAAATGTGGAAGAACACTAAATACGATCATAAACATTAACAATATATTTTAGCTGCCAAACTCAAGAACAACAATATCAAAACTTGGTTAACACTCTGAATTTGATCCTTATTTACATCAAACCCTTTGTTCGAATTTCGTTCAAACAACTAACCTTAAACTCATGTCAACTAATAAAGATCATGTTTAAGTACTAACACTAATATTAAAACTTTGCTATCTTAATTTGAACCTTATTTACATCAAACTACACCCTGTCTTCAAACAATTTACTTGACAATCCTAATAAATAAAAAGGATCTACTTTGAGAACCAGCGCTGTATCTCTGTGTGTATGCAGCGAGCACTGTCCGCTGTATGCACCCACTTGCAGTACTGCAGCGCACACATGCACATCTCCACGCTCCGCTACCCTTGCACACCCTGTATATAAGCCTATCTCAATCCAGCCTTGAACTTCACTTCACCACAACGGCAACACACAGCCGTACCATTTCAGACATACCCCGATTAAAAATCAACCCTTAGTCGTTGTAATAGGATTTGGAATTCGGTGTTAGTGAATGAACTATGGTGTGTTGAGAACTGTGTTGATTGGTGTCTTCTGATACCCGTGATTTGTCATCATGTTTACCGTACTGCAAACCGTGAGTATACTTTTTTGTATGGATTTAATATTAAGAAATATTATAGGAAATAAGTAGATGGAAGGTTGGAGGATACCTTTGCCGATCGGCAAGCAGATCTCCAGAAAATCAGTAATAGGTATTTTACAAATACTAGACCTAATTAAAGTTAACAAATTAAAATTATGTAACAGTTTTACGTTGGATTTGAATAAAGAGCTAAGTATTTTATTTATTATAGGAAATAAGTAAGGATAAATCCAAAATTATACTGTCACTAATAATTATTATTTTTAAACAATTATAGAATACATGTGTTCTAATGTAAATAGTTTTTACAGAAACTAAAATATAGATTGTTTGAAATAAATAACGGTATCATTCATATCATCTTTAACGAGCTGACTCGGCGAACTTCGTTCCGCCTTAAATTTTCTCTCCACTTTTTAAACCTTCCCTGGACTTCCACGAACATTTCAAGACCAAAATTAGCTAAATTGATTCAGCTGTTGTCAAGTTTTAGCGAGACTAACGAACGGAAGATCATTTTTATTTATAAAGAAGATTAATGTATGAGTGTTTATCTAAAGGCCAAAAAACCTTCGACAAACAGAACAATAACAAGTTTCAGTCAACTGATTTCATTGCAACCGCTTTTGTTTTACCTTTTACTATTTTTTTTTATTATACTATATTATTTATTTTACTATTTCAAATACAGATTATAACGGTATATAAAACAAATGTGTCTTAGTTAACAATTACTACTTATGATCTTTGGTTACATAAATTTTATGACTACCGTAAAACGAGGTGAATAGAATTCGAGGGGTGAATAGATACAGGAATGGGGTGAATATAGAGGTATATAAGAACATTTTCTCATTATTTATACACCTCTCTTCTGTATCTATTCATCCCGTTTTACCGTTATTGCTATAATAGGGTAGACGACTAATTTTTATTTTAATGTCCGTCTGGTAGATTATTTAAAAACATTAGACACGTATTTTATGTTTTCTTACGGAAACGAATAGTTTCGAAGATATATTGATTTGAAATGTCGTGTGACGTCACTTCTCAGTACATTTTATACTAAGAAATGACGTTTTAGCCCCCACTCCTAAACTTTGATTCATTTTATCTAAGTATTGTTTTATTATACGACAAAATAAAAAAATACGTGTCTAATATTTTTTAATTACCTACCTTACGGACTAATTATATTTTTAATTTCCATACCCTGTCATCATCCCCATTGCGTCTATCACTACATCAAATAACAAAACACCTATTAATAAAAATGTATTTAAACAGAAAATGTTAGCGGAAAACACACACACCATTGTAAATTTTAATACAAATTCTCACGATGATAAAAACACTAGAAACAATAAATAAAGTGTATTCGTTAATAAATTAAGTATTCTAGCTAACAATGGTGAGATGAAAGTGGGAAGATATTGGCAAAGTAATGGCGACAGCATTGTTCGAGTGACACATTGCTTGCTGGTGTCGATATTTTCATTATATTAGTTACTACTGTTACTCATGGATTTGCCTAAGTAAATAAAGATGATGAGAACTAGTCAAATGCAATACTTTTTGTTTTCTTATTGGTTGTTTTAATTGTGACGTCATATACCTATTTTAGTATCAAAATATCGATCTTATTTCTCTTAAGTTAACTACTGAAATACAGTAACTAGCTTTTAATTAAGTCATTGTATAAGGGTATAGTTATATATATAACATAAGATCACGCATTCATTCCCCCGAAGGGGTGTGCAGAGGTGCACATGACAGCACTTAATCTTAATCAATTAATGTAATTCACTCACTTTTCATGTGAGCCTATTGGCATATCTCGGGCACAATTCCAGACCCCGTGCTACTATTGAGATTTTTTTTAAAACCCAGTAATACTTTACCGGACTCTGGAACTTGCCAAGAAGTCCCACCTACGACCACTCGGCCAACGAGGCAGTCATCTTTAGATACTGTAGATTATATGTACATTTATTCAGCTAGCTAACCTAGCTTCACAGACAGACAGACGGACGGAAATGTTAAAATTTTGGCGTTTCAAAAGTGCCTAATTAAGGATTAATTGAAATAAATGCTTTGACTTTGACTTTCACTTATTCGTGGAGAAAAACATTGTTGACTGAGTTATCATCTCTGAATTCTTCTCCGTATTCCAAACTTTATATTTGAAATACATTTCAAGAACTTTGGCAGAGTAGATAAAATTTAAAAAGGTAGCAAACAAACTTACTTTCGTGCATGTTATGATAATAGTTGGGTTTGAATTCTTTGTAGGCCTAATAACTTCATCGGAAACTACATTACCATACAATGAGAGTATTCTAATTAAGAATGATGCGTCGGAAAGTGAAGTTGCTTTTCTTTTGATGAAATACTGTTTTATTTTTGCTAAAGTTTTATGTAATGACAGCAGATGCTGTTTAACATTGAAACTTTAATTTTCGATTTTATTTTGACTAATTGTAATTTGCGTTGGATTATTATTATGGACGTTTTGTCATTTTCAAATTGATTTCCCGTACCTATGTAATCCAACTATTCTAATTTATGATTACAATTAAATATTTTATTACTTTTAACTTTCATATCATAAAGAAAATTAGCATACCACATATTAATTTATTTATAACACTATAACAGAAACAAATCACACGAATCAAACCTCCATAATAAATCAACACGCTATAAATAGTTACAACGGAGCATAAATAACGTAATTTCAACCATAGTCAGCTCCCACTACGTCTCATTATTGCACAACACCCTTATTTGGGAAAATCCCATCGGAAGACATTACTAAGACATATTAGTAAGGTTACCGTAACGTTTTGCTCCATAACTCATCGATTTCTAAATGTGTTTTTAGAAAATGAATCTTTTAAATTACACAATTTAGTTTAAAATGGAAAAACAGTTGTCGTTTTGTCCATAATGTACAGTTTTCGAGACTTTGTTTTGGGTATAGGAGCAACTGTTTAGTTATGTTTGGTGATATATTAAAGTATGATTTGTTATAATACTTTGTGCATATGTTACATTATTAAAACTTCACTGTTTTGTTAAACCATAGGCACAGATTTGTTGTGCTGTAAGTATTAATATGTTTGTGTCTATAACTGGAGTTTGGATATAACTATTTTGACCTGTCTGTTGAAGTCAGTCAGTTGTCAGGGGTAGATTAAGTTTAATGAATGTTTATTCACTCATAAAGAACTGGGTTCACTTACAATGAACTTAAATGACTAATTATTATAATAATACATAGGCCACTTTCCATTCTATGGAAATGCGGTTGAAGCTGCAGGCAGAAGCCAGTTTGTAATAAACCAAAAACATTTCAGTTATACACGAAGGAAGAACGAAATAAAATATTTACACACACTAATAGACTTTATAGATATGTTTTACAATTGAGATCATGACAGGGTATGAACATTAAAAATATAATTAGTCCGTAAGTTAGGTAATGAAAAAATATTAGACACGTGTTTTTTAAAACAATACTTAGATAAAACGAATCAAAGTTTAGGAGTGGGGGCTAAAACGTCATTTCTACGTATAAAATGTACATAGAAGTGACGTCACGCGACATTTCAAATCAATATATCGTCGAAAGTATTCGTTTCTGTAAGAAAATAAAAAGTAAGTGTCTAATGATTTATAATAATCTACCAGACGGACACTAAAATAAAAATTAGGCATCTACCCTATTGATAAAGTTGCATGCATTTTGATTACGTGACTATAAATTATTAGTAGATATAAAATAGCAATTTTCCAAATAGTTTGAGAGCTATTTATGCGTGTATTGAAATGATGTGCGTGGTGGACATGATGCATCTCATGAACAGTATCATGCAATGCAAGTTGGTTTAGTACTCTAATCATGCAAGTTCTATAATTATGATGTTGTTATAATTAATCTTCGTCTTGCTTTGTTACTTCTGTTATTTCTAGACACATATGTCTTTTGTCTTGTTTATGTACTTAATCAAAAGTAAATTATTTCGACTGTCCAGTACAAAAAATATTAAAAAGTAATCACACTATCATTAATTAATTTTATGACCAACTTAATTTAAATATATTTCCAGCAAATTTTTAAGAATTAAGTATGCCGTTTGACGCTAAAAGAAACGTGACGTCACAATACACAATTTCGTACAAAAGTCGTTTTTGACAGTTCCTAAAAAAAGTATTGAATTTGACTAGTTGGCAAGTACTCAATTATCGATAAAAAGATTCGTGCATGACTTGGATGTGATTTAAAAATGTAATCAGTCATCGAAGGAACATAGTCTACATTTTCAGTAACCTAATAGCTAATCCCTAAGTCGTCTCCCAATAAACGTAAGGATTACGAATACCTAACCTTCCTATATAGAGGAGGCTCTTAAGCAAATAGTTGACCGCCAGGCTGTCAATGATGGTGGCGAAATTTCCTTTTGATCACGATTTGATGTCCTAGATTTCAACCATCGTAATGCTTTGGAATTACCGACAGAAGAATTGCAAACTACCAATTTGAATAAATAAAGTCTAGTCTGATTATTCCACGGTTCTTCAATCCAGAAATCATTTGAAGTCGTGCGCTGAACAAACTCAAGCCAGGCAAATCAAACTACTCTAACTGCAATATTTATCCAGTCAACTTTCAACATTATTTGCAAAAGCAATAAAACTGAAAATGCACTATAATAATTGGTGCATGTTCCTTATAGTGCTAGTGTCTGCACATAATAAAGTTCATTGACCACATTACCATAGAATTGCAGTCTGCTATCAACTGCCATGATTGATGGTTAAGTCTATTGCCGGTTACGGCAACTGGTCATGTTCCTACGATCGTTTTAATTATTAATCGATGGATGTAACGGTTAGAAACGATACTAGATCGATGTCCAATGATCTTGAATGTAATGAGATTAATTTCAATGAGGTTTGATTTAGTGTTAATTTTTGACGTATCGCGT